AAAGTTATTCAATGGGGAATTGCTCAAAATAAAGCATTACCTTCAAAACTTGAAGAATGGTCAAATGAAAATTTTATGTTCCTAAGAAATACTCTCCAACAATGCATACCACATATCCACTATTTTAAACTGTCTGGAAGAGATGTTATGAATAAAATAGAACCTTACAAAAAGATTTTAGATGAACAACTTTGGAATGACATAATCAGAAATTTAGTTATTCCTGATAAACCAGTTAAGTCAGTTATTTTGCCGAAAAGAACGACTGTTGTTACGAAACTACCAAAAAGATTGGAGCCTTTCTTGACTATCATCAATGGCGAGCATGCAGCAGAAATCTCATCATGGATCGATCGAAAAGAAATACCATACTCCTCGTCGAGCATTTCATATTACTTTAAGTTAGTAATAAGGGGGAGTCGCGATGGATTTGATCCTCAAATATTTTGGAATAAGAGTCATGAACATACGAGTACATTAATAATTTTAAAGGTGGAAGGATCTGAGGAGATTCTTGGTGGATATAATCCTTTAACGTGGTATAAGGAACGCGAAGGAGCTTATCACACAAATGATAGTTTTATTTTTTCATTAAATACTGGAAGGTCTATTCTTAGTCGAGTGAGGAACGCGCAATATGCCATTTATTCTAGACCCTTTAACCTTAGAGCTACATATGGACCATATTTTGGATCTTATGGGGAATTATGTTTATTTACTAGTGTAAGTAAGCAATGTTATTGCCATTATGGGGGATATGATTATAATGTTCCTATTCGTGCTTCTGGTGGTCATTTTATGATTGAAGATTATGAAGTATTTGATGTTATTAAAAAAGTATCTTAGCATTCTCAGTATATTAAAAATATTGATGTAAAATAAAATATACAGTATATACAGTATGTAATATATATATATGTTTTCGTCATATCCACCAAAAATTCTTGAGCAGATTATGATAAGTCCCCACAGTAATCACATTATTTGAAAAATAATAACTTAGTATGTAACAACTTACCATTTCCTATTTACATAGTCAATATTTTTATTTTAAAGTTTCAATAAAAATATTTTATAATAATCACAACTATATTTTTTGAATAATTTATAAACATTCGTAGAAAATAATTTTAACTATAATAATTTGATTTGAAATATTAACTTTTTTTTTTTTACTCGCAATCATGCTATCATATGGTGTCTCTTTATTGAGATATTAATAAATATCTATAACAATTAACATGACAACTAATTTTTCATTATCCATAATTAGTTAAAGAACTATATTACTTAAAAAATATGAGAATTCACTAAGCTAGTTCAGGCTAAACAAAACAAAGTCGCAACTTGGTACTCTGTTATATTTAGGCAACAATATTTCACTTTCCTAATAGATTAGTATTAGAACCTCTGCCTATCAGAATTATTTTTAACAGTTTATCACTATAAAAATTTTTAAAAAATGATGAATTTTTGAATTGCTGCACTAATAAAAAAAAAAATTATAATAATTTAACTTAAAACTTCTTCCTCTTTTTTTTTTTTTTTAATCCTCTGTCAAGCCAGTTATGTATGCATCATTAAACAGTTGTAGATTATACATTATATATATAATGTTAAAGTAAATCTCTAACTCACTCACTTATCAAAGTTTCTATTCAAAACTCTAAGTGCAACTTCAGGAGTAATTTATCACTCAGTTAGTAGTTTGGGTAGAAACTCTTCTAAGTTTCAATTCATCACTTGCAGTTCATTACTATAGAATACTTTCTGAGATTCTAACAAGCCTCAAAATCCAATCATTTTGTCCCATACTTAATCCCATTTCTTATAATTTCTACAAGGTTTTTGTTTTCACTTTCTCCTTTATCTTTTTGCCTTATAATTTCATAGTTAGAATTATCTTGCAAAGAATCTTGTCTTCTTATTTCCTGAGATTTCTTGTATTTTACTTTCTATTAATTCTTTGTGCTTGTTCCCACTCTATGATCTTTTTATATTCTACATTCCAAACTTGTTTATGGATCTAGTTACAAACTTTCTTTTGTACTCTTAAAATCTTCTTACAATAGCAATTTAGGTTAGCAGCTTCTTTAATCATATTATTTTCTAGTAACACTGTACAAAAGCTGTATATGCTTGAACTAATTTATGAAGCTACTTTTATGAGTTTGAAAATCCATCTATCTATTTCACTTTTTTCTCTCCTTTTGTCAATTGATAATTATATCTTCTTTTTATATGCTTCTCTTTTTCTATCTCAGTACAACTTATCAAATTTATTGAGAAATATTTCAGATTCTTTTTTTCATATTACCAGAATCTCATTTTTGTAACCAGGACATTTTAATAGATGTTCAGTTGTCTTCTTTTACTAATTGCATGCTATATAACTTGTTTACTTATATATTGTAAGTCAGATCTTCTTATTACTAGCTTGCTTAAGATAAATAGTTTATCATTGATCAATTTGATTAGAAAACTTCTTCTTTGTGAATCTTTGAAAGAGGTATCCTATATGCTACCATTCTTTAACCTATCACATGTCAAGTTCTATCAATAGGTTTGATATTCTTGGACTTGATAATATCATTTTATCTTTGTGTTATATTATTATATCTATAACAAGACAGTTGATCTTTTATTGATTTATTTAATAAACTATTGAATTGGACTATCTATTATATCCTTTTGCCATAATATTATTATAGATATCTTGCTCAATTTAAGGTTACTCCATTCTATTGCTGAGATCTTTAATACTTCTTTAACCAATCAATCTGCTTTTTCATTCCATAAATCATTAGAATAAGCTTTGACTTTAATTAAAATCAGTTGAATATGCTTTTTCTTTACAATATCTAATATTCTTATTCATAATAACTAGTTTTTTTCTTTTAGCCATCTTTTGTATATCATCTTGAGATATTATTTGTCTAGTTTTTTCTATTTAAAGATGCAGACTTGATTATTGATAAAGATTTCTATCATACTATTTATTAGGACTATTAAAACTATTATAACTAGTGTCAACAATTCTGCTTTTATAGATAAAAACCAGTTTTTAACTCCTGTTTAAAAATTTTTTTCTTTCTTAACTCCTTCATTTTGTATTTATACTGCTTCTATTCTTGCATTTTCATCCTTATGATCGATCAAGGATCTATCTGAATAGAAGATTAGCTTCTCCTATGATTCTTAATTATATTAAGAATTTCAAGTAGGTGATTTTGATATATTTCTTGTTTAATATTAGCTCTAATTATTTCTTGTTTCCAGTCTCCTATTAGTATATATTTTATTGTTTCAATTTAATTATTTCTTTGGTTTTGGTTTTTGAAACTATATTTATTGTTATTGTCCAATTAAGCTCAAGTAAAGGATAGAGACTCTTTAACAATTGTAATCTCCTGGTATTTTTTTGGTAGTTTAGAAATGATATAGTATAAATCACATTTGATTTTACTTTTATATTGCATTTATTTCTCTTTTTGTTATTGAAGAGGCATCTTGAGCATTTAGTAAGAACTGTTTCTAGACTATTTTTGTTTCTTGTTGATTAAAGTGATAGATTATAACTATACCTTAGCTATTTTTTTGAATTAGTTTTTCCAATACTAGTTGCTAACTTTTTTTTTGAGTAACTATCCAAGTTTTCTTCCTTTTGTCTCTGCCAGGTTTAGTCTAATATATTTTGGTATCCATTTTTCTTTTCATCACTTTTCCCAAAGTTTTGTAAGATCTTCTATACCTTCTTTGATTATAGTTTTTTGTAAAATATTATATTATTCTAAAATTGGGTCCTTGCTTATATTTTACATAAGTTGAATCGTTTTTCAATTTTTAAACTCTATAGGATTTTGGCTTATTAGTTAATCTATATACATTAACCTATTATTTCATAAAAATAATATTACCTTTTTATATTCTTTGGATATTAAATATTTCTGAATTGAACTGTTGCCTTTGGTATATTCAAAGATATTATTTTACTTTCAACTCTGAAAAGCTATTTCTATACTCTTGACTAGCTTTAAAACCTGTAATGTAAAATTTCTTTTATTATCAAGATGGCACAAGAATTTGTATAAAAAAGATTGCAGGACTCACAATGGTTAATTTGAAATTGTTTCAATCTAATAATTGTAGTGAGCCCTGCTGAGCCTTGATCATTTATTCTATTATAGAGTTCTGTAATTTGATTTTATTTTTGAAGTGTCCATATGCTTTTGAGGTTATGTATCTTCAGATTGTGGATTACACTATTAGGGATAAATCTATACAAAGCAATTTTGTTCTTGAAAAGTTTATGATATACTGCTGTTAAGTTATTGTATATTTCTAGGACCATATACTATGATACTTTATGAACTCTATTCTTGGAATCAATACTCTATTTAGTATATAGAGAGCTTGCTTATCTGTTATTTTCTTGTTTTTGAGAGCTTTGATAATAATATTGATTTCTTTTAATACTCTTTTTTTAAGTTCTATTGCAATTTTCTGATTGCTTGTTCAAATCTCTAAAAATCTTGCTAGCTCTTTTCTTCTCCATCTAGTTTTCTTAATACTTCTTTATTAATTCTAGTATGAACTTCTTCTAAATAGGAGTTAAAGTTTTAATAGTTACTAGTACCTGTTTACTAATATTAATCTGGGAGTTATTTGTTTTGTAAAAGATTCTTGCTGTCTCTAAGATCTTTTTAATATCTTCTTTGAATCTTGCTATCCAAATGATATTATTCATAAAGGTCATAGCTATATGTTTTGATTCTAGTTTCTTGGTGGTATCACTATTTAGTTCAAGATTCTATGAGACTGCCATTTTATATCCATATTCTTTATTTTCTTGAATTTTACAAAACAAAAAGTCATAATAGATTCTTCATATAAGTGATGAGATAGTTTCTTCTTGGTCAATTCCATTTTCTGTCCTTATCAGTTCTATAAGATCATTCTCAAATATTACTTTAAACTCTTTATTTTGGAATAGGCTTATTATGATCTTAATGAATCCCTTAGGTACTTTTATTCTTTTTATTATTTTTGTTAGCATTTCCTAACTAATAGTATCATATGCCTTGGCTATGTCTTAAAAGAGTATTTACGGCTCTTTTTTGTTTTCTCTTATATTCTTGCAGATGTTTTGAGAATTTGAATGGGTTCTGCTGTACTTTTTTCTAGTAATCCTGCATAATTAGAACTTTAAAGATATTGTTTATTTTACAAATATTTTTCATTCTAGTGATTAGGATTTTGATAAAACACTTTTAAATAACTTTTAATAGTACAATGATCTTGTGTTTATCAATTAATATCTTATAATTTTGGTTTAACTATTAAATATATATGAATTTGTTTCTAACATATAGGTGTAACTTTACATCTTAAGAAGATATTTATCATTTTTCATAGTTATTCTTTTCATTCTTGCCTTAATTTTTCAGTATTTTATAGCTAATTTGAGATTTTCCTGGGACTTTGTTGTTTGGAAGTGCATAAAGAGTTTCTTCTAATTTCTCATATGTAATTGGCTCTAGAAGAGTATTATATTATACATCTTGAATATACTGTTTG